CGAGCCTGCAATCGAAAAGGCGCTGCAAATAAGTCACTTGCCTGCCCCAGGCCTACAGACACCCATTCCATCAATCCTGCGTGGTACACTACGTGAATATCAGCACTACGGATTGGATTGGCTTGCGGGTCTCTACAACAACCGCATCAACGGTATTCTGGCAGACGAGATGGGTCTGGGCAAAACGATTCAAACCATTGCCCTTCTTGCCCACCTCGCCGTGGACCATGGTGTCTGGGGACCGCATTTGGTAGTTGTTCCCACCAGTGTCATGCTCAACTGGGAAATGGAGTTTAAGAAATGGTGCCCGGGTTTCAAGATCATGACTTATTATGGCAACCAAGAAGAACGTAAGCAGAAACGTCGAGGCTGGACAGATGACAACGCCTGGAATGTGTTGATTACGTCCTACCAACTTGTTCTGCAGGACCAAATGTCTCTCAAGCGAAAGGACTGGCACTACATGATTCTTGACGAGGCACACAACATCAAGAATTTCCGCTCACAGAGGTGGCAAGCCCTTCTTACGTTCAAGTCGCGTGCTAGGCTTCTCCTAACGGGTACGCCACTCCAGAACAACCTCACAGAACTATGGTCTCTTCTGTTCTTCTTAATGCCTTCAGATGGTACCAATGGTGGGGTCGAAGGGTTTGCTGATCTGAAGGATTTCTCTGAATGGTTCCGGCGTCCCGTTGAACAAATTCTGGAGCACGGAAGGGAGACTATGGATGAAGAAGCCAAGGGCGTGATCACCAAACTTCACACCGTTCTCCGCCCTTACCTTCTTCGTCGACTTAAGGCCGATGTTGAGAAGCAAATGCCTGGCAAGTACGAACATGTAGTCTACTGTAGGCTATCAAAACGTCAGCGATACCTCTACGACGGCTTCATGTCGATGGCCCAGACCAAGGAGACGCTCGCGTCCGGAAACTTCCTCTCCATCATCCACTGTCTGATGCAACTCCGTAAAGTGTGCAATCACCCCGATCTCTTTGAAACCAGACCCATCTCCACTTCCTTTGCGATGCCGCGGTCTGTGGCTATGGACTTCAATATTAAGGAATCCCTCGTTCGACGACGGCTCCTCTTTGAACACCCACTCACCAAGATCGACTTGGATTTCCTCAACCTCGCACCCGTATCACGGGAAGATATCTCACGACGGCTGGCCGACGACAGTATCAGGCTGATGGCTATTGGCCCGTTCAAGACTCTCCGAGAACGCCAGTACAACCGAACCAACTGGGAGATGGGCTTTGACGGGTCCAATATGCAGACCATCTTAGAGTCATTGGAGAACGCCTGTCGGAAGAGGCGAATGGCGGAATTAGAACGGTGTCTCTACTTTGAATCCAAGCGGCACGGCCGTCGGCCCGTATACGGTAGCAGCCTTATTGAATTCCTCCGGGCAGGGACCAAGGAACACGCGCTATCCAATGCACCGCTGCGGAAGCGCTCCATGGCTGAGTGGTTGTCAAGCCGGTCCTCCGTCCTTGCGTCGATGATTCTGACCGTTGAGGAGCGTGCCCTTGAGATGCATGGCTATGTTCAGAGATTCGCCTGCGTCACTCCCGCCGCAGTTGCCGCGGGCATGAACGAAGCCGCCTTGACCCCGGTCGAGACCCGGCTTTTGACCAATAATCGCCCCAACCCGCCATACGATCCTTTCCACGAAGCGCGGATGCGTCTCTCTATTGCGTTCCCGGATAAGAGATTGCTTCAATACGACTGCGGCAAACTACAGCGCCTCGATAAACTCCTCCGTGATCTCAAAGCCGGCGGCCATCGAGCCTTGATCTTCACTCAGATGACCAAGATGCTCGATATCCTCGAACAGTTCCTCAACATCCATGGCCACCGCTATCTCCGACTCGACGGAACTACGAAAGTCGAGTCCCGACAGATGCTCACGGAACGATTCAATAGCGATCCCCGCATCCTGGCTTTCATCCTATCAAGTCGATCCGGTGGTCTCGGTATCAATCTCACGGGCGCCGACACGGTCATCTTCTACGATCTAGACTGGAACCCAGCTATGGACAAACAATGCCAGGATCGTTGCCACCGTATTGGTCAAACACGTGATGTTCACATCTACCGCTTTGTGTCCGAGTATACGATTGAATCCAACATCCTCCGCAAAGCCAACCAGAAGCGCATGCTCGACGACGTCATCATTCAAGAAGGCGAGTTCACCACAGACTACTTCACTAAGGTGCAAGAAATCACCGAACCCGACGAGCGCGACGGCCAAGATGAAGCCAGTGCCGCGATGGACCGAGTCCTCGGCAACCGTGTCGGAGGCACTCGCGTCTTCGAAGCAGCCGAGGACAAGGAGGATCTTGATGCCGCGAAGAATGCACAAAAAGAACAGGAACATGCCGACGATGGCGACTTTGAGGAGCATAGCGCATCCCATGGAACACCGGCTCAGGCTGGCACGCCGTTGGCGGTTGAAGACGTGACTGTTCCAGTATCTGGTGACCCCGCCGAATTGGAGCCTGGTCACATTGATGATTATCTCTTACGGTTCATGGAATGGAATATGAGGGATGAACCCCTGGTTCTCCCTGCGGATAAGAGCAAGAAAAAGTCCAAAAAGGGCAAGGAGCACCGTCTGAAGAGGCGTCGTTAGCTATTGCGTGATTTCTTCTTTTTTTTCAACTCCACTCCGTTTCGCGTTTTTAATCTTTTCCTTTTGTTTTCTCCAGGCTTGTCATAGCCTCTGTGTATAATTCAAGCGATTGGAGATGTTATAATGTTTTTCTCTTCTGATTATGTTGTAGTATTGCTCTTTTTTTTTTTATGTTAATCCTATATTAACAATAGAATCAATTATCAGAATAGAAGTTAATCCAATCAATAGTCTATTTCCCGGAGATTATAGTCAAGTGGATATAGTCTTCAGTCCGTAGATCATTCTTACAGGAACTCTCGGAAGCTATTGAAATTTAGCTTGGTTTTTATATTAATATCAATAGTGTGAGGGAATTGTTATAGAGCGAATAAAAAGATGTAGTTATAGCATTTGGTCTCTCATTTGGTCTCTCATTTGGTATTAACATCCATGGATAGATAGAAATCAGATCTCGGGATGCTTCCCCTATTCAGCTTCTCAACTAAGGAGTAAAGATTCGGGATATCAAAATGCAAATGCCGATTGCCACTTTACCTCGGTAAGTTGTCCCCGAATCATAATGGAAAAGTGGGAACTTCAAGTGGATAATGAGCATGTATTGTGAAGCCGAGTATTCCCCGTTGGGGTAACTCGGGGAAATGGAGCCAAAAAAAAAACGTAGGGCTTTGGAGATTTTCCTTTAAGCTTTGAAAAAAAGGTGCTTTGCAGCAGATCCATGGTGATCCGGGGATATCTGCCTTTTTTTTTTATATATACTGTTTCAGCTATACGTGTGTGTATACGAGAGTGTCATTTTAGAAAAAAAAAAGAAAAAAAGAAAAGAGAAATTTGAACAAGTTAAAATGCCTTTTATGCCTTTTACAGGGCCCAGAACATATACGCATTTTCTTTGAAAACGTGTCAAAAGGGTGAGAATACTCTGACTTATTTTAAGATAATCCCTTAGAGTTATGAAACATATTCTCCGGATTTCCATTCTTTAGATATAGATATATATATAACCATGGACCATGGATATGAACATATAAAGATATCCACCTAAATAGAATGAAGATATTGAGAAGATAATCCGAGATAATCCGAAATAATCCGAAATCGGACATCTACCGAGCTGTGACATATGCAGAAAGCTCGTGGACACTTTCTCATGCAGGGCAATATCAGGCCCGTGCATTTCTTTTTTCTGACTCAAGGATGTCTCATGTGCTTGACAATTTAGAGGCAATGGTATAAAAAAAAATTGCCGTTTAAGGGGAAAAAAGTCATGGACCCCGAAAGTCCACTATTGAGGACCCGGGCAGATCGTCGATCAATGTACTAGATCGATTGGCACTCGCACGAACTGATACTCCACGACCTTCACAACTATTGGTTCAAATTGAGAGGCTTTACACTAGTTCTGACACCATGTGCCTTAGCGGATTCACATCCAGACGTGAAAAAAAAAAAAAAAAGAAAGAGAAAAGCATTGGTGCCTTGGGGGGGGGGGGGGGGAGGGGGAGGAAGGAGACCGCTTTTTTCCCAGGAATTCGGGATCTGCCCGAATATGTTGGAACACATGATATGACGATCCTGTACTCCTCATAATTTGTTAGATTTCCAAGGGTTCCATAGGAAAAAGTTCATAACGGTTCTGCTTTTAGATAGACGTCCGGTGCAGAACCAGAACCAGAACCGTCAAACCCGTCAGAACCGTCAGAACAGAAACCGCCCCCTGAAAGCCCGATGATCGGCGACCAGTCCAAGACGCCACGGGGGTGAGAAGGGCTTATCTCAGAGTGGACTAAGACTTGACACTAGCCGGACTCCCCTCAATGCACAGTAAATCACTGGGGAACTACTCCCTATAGGTCTCGGTACTATGGAATATAATCGTGGGACTTCCCCCAATTCTCATACGTCCTCAGGCTCAAGGTTAAAGGAATCTAAATGATCTCGATAGATCAAAAGAAGTCCAAAAAAAAAAGCAAGTAAAATAACAGTAGATCAATCGAATTCCGAATATCTTTGTTTAAACGCGCCAAGCACTCAACTGGGAATAAGACCTAGCTGTTCCCGTTTATCCACTTGGAGTAAATGACATCGGTTGGATGATCGTCGTGAAATGAATTGCTCTCAACGAATCTCATTCATGATCGAACGCCACAAACGCTAATATCCAATTGTCACAGACCCAAGACAATGGAGATCTTGAAGTGGAGGAAAAAGTGGAGGGAAGTTAGTTGGTGGCCCTAATAAACCACTCTTATATTCTCTTCTCCCTACATATATTTATCCTCATCTATCTCTCTCTCTCTTTTTTTATTTTTTTATTATTGTTGATCATTGTGATCCCCAATTTCATTAAACTTGGACTGTTTAAATGATGAAGACTTCTATCTCCTCTGATGTATGGGAGAAGAAGAAGGCATTGATCTCCAGATTATATATGGAAGAGGAATGGCCCTTGAAGCAGGTCATTAAGCAAATACGTACCGATGACTTCAATCCTAGGTATACATTTCCATATCTATATTCTCTATTTCCGATACCGGACTCTTACTAACACCTCCAAGTGAAACCCAACTACGAAGCAGACTGAAGAAATGGAGAGTGACCAAACCATCTCGCCAGACTCGAAAGAAGAGTCTAGCTGAAGTCTCTGGGGAAGAAGATTCAGATGTGAAGAGAAAAGCATCGATTCAAAGACCACTGCCATCATTACCAGTAAGAGCGGAACCAATAATCCGCCACGAATGGCCCATGGCACAACCTATCTATGGACAATCGTCCACCCAACACCATGTCCCAGATCAGGACCGGAAATGGAGCTCTCCTATGATCCAACAACTCACCCCAAGTCCCTCGGGAGAGCACATCCTCGTCCCAGACCGTACAGCCGTCTCCTATCCAGATCTCAGCCCAACAACAACAGCCTTCGACCACACCTCCCCGGTGGGAGAAGGTCTCATGCTGAACACCACCTCGGCCATGACCCCATCCTACCAAGCCTATCCACTCTCACCAGAGTCATGCCTTCCAAGCCCGGGAACAGCAACGACCCCCGGCATCGGCTGGCCACCACGCGCTGTCTCAGTAGACTACGGCCTTAACCCATCTCAATGGTACTCACTACCCTTTGAAGCCATCACTCCCCCAGCCACCGTCCCCCAATCTACGGCTGCTCCCATGGCACCTTCAGTCAATGGCTACCTCCCCCAAGGCCATCTCTACAGTCCCCAGTATCATCAATACCCCAGCGAGGCACCAGAGTACCCGCCTGGCTATGATGTCAAGAACTGGAAGCGCGCGATGTCGTTGCAGTATGACATGGCTGGTCATCTGGCTGCCCGGCCCGAGCATGATAGGAAGCAGATGATCCCTCATACTCAGCCCCATGGCCAGATGCATACTATGACGTCCCCGACTCATACTCAACCCGGGCCTCATTCAGTGATGTGTGCTCCGATGCCTTATGTGGATCATGACCATTATGCACAGAAGCCACCCGGCATTGGATACTAGGTGTTAACTTGAACTGGCGCTATTATTTCTGTTAAATACGTGTGATACCTTGATACTTGATACCTTTTTGTGTGAACTATGGGTGGATTGTTTGTTTTACCATACCCAGTGATATTTTTTTTGGTTTTTTTTTTTTTTTTTTTTTTGGTTTTGGGGAGTTTGTGGATGAAAAAGGAAACTGTATATATTGATACCTATTGTTTAATTGAGCTTGATACATCTATACAACATACATCTATACTTTAATATACTCCCGAGGCCCGTATAAATATGATATGCCAAGACTCGGTAATTACCCGAAAAGGAACCTCGGCATCTTGCGGGGAAACCTCCCAGCTCCCAGAGCTCTTCTTATTTGAACATTCCATCTCTTCCATTTACTGAAAAAGTTCAGAGTCTCTCACCTCCATTCCAATCTATATTCCCGTCAAAATGCGTGCCGTCCAAGTCAGCGAATACGTCAAGGTATCAACAACCGAACCCCAAACCGAGTCCCAAACCGAACTAACCACATCTACAGGGTCCTCTAGACCTAAAAGTAACGACAGTCCCAACCCCAACCCCAACCGCAGACAAATACCTAATTGAAATTCACTCTGCCGGCACAAACTTCTTCGACATCCTCCAAATCCAAGGCAAATACCAACATCAACCACCGCTCCCTTGGATTGGTGGTGCCGAGTTCGCCGGTACAATCACTTCTGTTCCGTCGTCCCCAAACAACCGCTATAAACTCGGCGACCGCGTCTTCGGTGCCACACAAGGCGCCTACGCAACACACGTCTTAGCCGCAGAGCAAACCCTCCTCCCCGTGCCGGAGGGATGGAGCTTTGAAGATGCGGCGGGACTGTTCGTCACGGCCCCAACCTCGTATGGCGGTCTTGTTCAACGCGCTGGCGTGAAGGCCGGCGACTGGGTCCTTGTTCATGCTGCTGCAGGTGGCGTTGGACTTGCTGCTGTGCAGGTTGCTAAGGCCATGGGCGCGACCGTTATTGCTACTGCGGGAACCGAGAGGAAGAGGGAGATTGCTAAGATCTTTGGGGCGGATTATGTGGTTGATTACACGGATAAGGCGTGGCCGGAGGTTGTGAAGGGAATCTGTAAGAAGAACAGGCAGGGCAATGGGGCTGCTGGGGTGGATATTGTTTATGATCCTGTTGGCATGATTGAGGCCAGTCTGAAGTGTGTGGCGTGGAATGCGCGGTTGTTGGTTATTGGGTTTGCGGCAGGGACGATTGAGAAGGTGGCGCTTAATCGGGTGCTGTTGAAGAATGTGAGTATTGTTGGCTTGCATTGGGGGCAGTATGCCAAGTTTGAGACGGAGACTGTTGGCAAGGTTTGGCAAGGGATCTTCGACCTTGTTGAGCAGGGGAAGTTCAAGGGAACTGCGTTCAAGGATGAGAGCTTTGTTGGATTGGAGAGTGTGCCCAGGGCTTTGCAGGCGTTGGGTGGGAGGGAGACTTGGGGAAAGGTTGTTGTGAATATTGTTGGTGAGGGGAAGAGCAAGCTGTAGTCTTTGAGGGGAAAAAAAAGATAGATACGTGGGAAAGCAATAAGATTCGATTCGATATTAAACTGATGAATGTAGATGCGCAAGGAGTCATGCTCTCGTAGACAAAGTGAAATTCCCAAAAGGGAAAGACTCGAGCAAGTATAACATGAACTATGAAGGCCCTTTGCTTGCTCTGGCAACTTTTGTATTTCAAAAATGAGCATGAGCACCCGAAGGTACCCAGCCCACAACCCAGCTCCAGTCGGTCACGGCCACAAGACGCAGCGCTGTGGTGACTGTTCTCCAAAAGGAGAGCCCTTGAGTACGTCCATGGGGACTGGGGCAGCTGGATTGATGAGTTGCGGACAGAATGTGTTTGGGGTTTGAAATATATCTGTGAACGAGTCAGTGTAGAGTTATGTATAGGCACTGTAAATCAGAATAGCATTAAATTCTGACAAATGGTCCAAAGATGTCTAGAGATATCCAGAGGAAGACGAAAAAAAAAAAGGAAAAAAAGGGAAAATATAGGATGGTGACTCAGCACCATACCGCCCAGTTTCTGCCACTTTAAGTATACTATCTTGAGGTTTCCGAGGACTTTCTAGCTTGAATGGGTTTGTTTTAAGGCTAAGATCTTGCATTTCTGTATAACAGGAACCCATATCTTGTTCATTGGCCATGTATAACAAGCGACTGTGTCTGGTGAAAGGAGCCTTGCCTTGCCTTTCAAAGGGGTCACTAGTCACTAGGTTGGAATCAGAATGAGATTAGGAGATCCATCTTATTATACTGACATGTATTTGCGCTGCTCTGCGAGCTGAACAACAAGAATGTCTCTTTATCTCAGAGATACTCAAGATAGGTGTGCTTTTAGCGATATACACTAACATAAAGAGCCATCCGCTTTTGATTGCCCATCCCAGTTGAGTCGAAAGCAGGACCTGCCAATTCCCTGGACTATGAAAAATAAACACTAACACAACGCTATTTCCCTTGTCAATTGTCTCATCCTGCCGACCCGTGAATGTTAGAGAGAAGTAATGGCCTCAGTTTCGTTCACCAGCATGTCTCTCCCATACCTATGGTCTCATACGCGGGTTGTAAACTCAACTGTCGACTCTATAGGTACCAGTACCATCTTGTTAGGGATTGACAAAAGCAAAAGGTGGCCTCGAGAAGAGTGCAGTCTAGAAGATGTGCATACATTACAAAGACGCGTATTTTTAGAAGTCATATTTCAATTCACATACATTTGATTCAATTAATCTGTGAAAAACTGTCTGTAAGATAGCCCAAAGATCGTAGCCATCAAGGACACAGATGATGCATATGCATAGGCAGAAAACCGAAACAAGAAACATAGAAATTCGAAAAGAAAGAAAAAAATCATAACATCATGGTAATCATTCACATCAGTCGTTAATATCATAGAGAAATCTTTTTAAATTAATGCTGACGTTCACGCATCTCAACAGCAGTAGCCCATCCCTCACAACAAGAACGGCTCATATTATGTCCACACCAGCAGCAGGTCACCTTGCGTAAAAGAAGAGGTGCAGGCCGTAGATCGGGCTTGGCAGCATGAGGAGCTGGGAAATTACCGAATGGCAGTGATTTTGATCCCGTCAGCTTACGGGTACCGCTGTCGGGTTGCTTCTTGGAGGGGGATCTACCCAGCTTGGAATCCGAGCCTATACTCTCGGGGTAGGCGAGACGTGCATAGACTTCGGGGGGTAGGTCGTGCCAGTACTTGCAGCGGCAGCAGATTACGAAGACCTTGGCAATAGTTTGTGAGTTGTGGGCTGATTTCGCTTTTTGGGATCTTCTTTTGAGGATGCTCATGGGGCCTAGTCGGGTTTGGGGGCTGCCATTTTCGGTAGCTGGTTGCGTGATGGTTTGTCTTTCGGGATGAATGTCGGGCTGAGTGCCAGGTTGAGGGCCGTCCTGTATGCCGCGATAAGTATCGCGATGAGAGCCAGGCTGCAGGATAGACGGAAGAACGGGCTGGTTGCTGAGTTGGACTGGTTGGACACTAGATTGGACGCTAGGTTGGATGCCAGGCTGGAGACTGGGATAAATGAGCGGACTGACGGGAGCCTCCTGTACAACCGGCGCTTCAATAGCAGATACCGAGGGACTGGTATCCACACGAGTCAGAGAGTTGCGTTTGAATCCAGGAGATTCGGGGGTATCTTCATCGGCAGTATCATAGTTTGAATGGCCGTCGTGGGAAGATGTGTGTGAAGGAGTACGGCTATGTCCTGGTATCAACCCTCCAGGTCCTCCAACAGCAAGGGTATTCGCAGGGAGTTCAGTGGAAGTGCAAGAAGCTCGACGAGGAGATCTCGCAGGGACAGCAAACGTGCCATCTGACAGGTCCTTAGATGTTTGGTTGCTTCTCTCCACGGGTGAAACACTTCCTGTATGGAATGAAGATCGCACGGGTACCTGGAATGGAGACGTGGGGGTGTCTCTGAGCGAATCAGTTGACGCCGTTGGCATTCTCCAAGTCTCTTGACTCCGTCGTTCGCTCTTGACTGGGACCTGTGGCAGCTCGGCCGACTGTGGGGATTCTTGGAAGTTTTCCTTGAAACGACTTGCAGTTCGCTTGGGGATATGCGACGAAGCGACAGGCAATCGACTTCTCCCTCGATCCTCGGGGAGAGGGTGGGCGGGAAGAGGTTGCGCGGGGGAGTGTGATAGCTGGGATGGGCTTGCATGGTCAAGATTCTGTGCTGTCGGTAATCTTGGAATGCTGGTATCATCCTGAGGCGATTCATCCGTATTTGCAGGATTCAGCGCGAGGGGAGACGACTTGTATGCTCGCGGGAAGGAATCCACTTGATTCTTCCTAGCAAGGTTTCCCGTGGCATTTGTTTGTGCTAGGTTTAGTGGTTGATAAAGCCTAGCATTGGATTGAATTGATGCATTTTCTAGAGTTTCTGGAAGTGTCATCTCCTGCAACTGACGAGCCGTGGTAACTTGAGTAGGCGAATCAAGGAAACCTGGATGTAAGTTAGGCTGGCTCAAGCTCTGCGACATTGACATGCTAGTAGCCCTAACGGAGCGGTCATAAGTAACTCGATCAGCAGACTTTTCTGTCGCGGGCACACTCTTCCTGTCATGCTTCAAAGCTGCGGAAAACACCTCCCTATCCAGATCGTTCGAGGCGAGTTTCTCACGGTTCCGAGCAGCTTTTCCAAGAATGGATCGGCTACCGTTGGGAATATTCTCCGACACTGACCGATTGGACAGTCCATTCTTTTTCTTCCAGGCTTCCGCCATCTTCCAGTTCTCACGAAGATCATCAGACTTCGGGGAGCTGTGGAGGAAATGGCTGTGCTGGGTCGCGTTGGGCATTTTGTTCGAAGCGGATAAATTCAGTGCAGTGCCATGCGTGGACTGTAACTCTCGGGTGATAGCTGTTCCAAACCTTTCCGGTAGAGCCAAAGGCAGAGAAGGTGGGGTCGTATCTGTCCTCAGCTGGCTAAACTCGGGAGACGGAGAGTCTACATCGCTCGAATTTGAATTCCGGCGTGATCGCCGGAATATCGAGGAAAAACCACTTGACGATCTCGGACGCTCTGCATTAGCACTAGAGCTTCTACTTGAGCTGCCCACCGGTTGTTTCTTGGTCAGACGGCGAGAGGATCTGTCATTGATTCCAAGGTCGGCCTTGGATTGGGCATCCTCAAGCGCTAGCAACCGCTTCTCGAGTTCTTTTCTCTCAGCTTCCAGGCGACGTGTGACACGCTTTTCTTTCTTCTTGGTTTTGTCCAACGTTGGAGCTTTGTCTCCATCTCCATTGGGATGACTAGGCAAGGGTGTCATTTGTTGGGTCGGAGTATCATCCATAGAGGTCCCATTTGCGACTGATAGACTTGAACCAGGTGTACCAGTGGAGGGTAAACGAGAGTTGGAGGAATAAGAGCGCGAGCTGGGCCCGGTCTCATCGTACAGGGAATGTCTCGCATAAGAATTACTGTCCTGTGCAAGAGCTTCACGAGCGAGGAATGGAACTGGGGGAATGAACTCGGTTTGACTGTGTCGTTTCTTTAAGGGGGTTAGATGAAGTTCCTTTGTTGGCTATAGTTAACTTACACTAAAGACACGGTGGATGTGGTCGGTAATGGATGATCGACGGACCCTGCGGGGCTGATCGGCGGGTAAGACCTCCATTGGAGTTTTTAGCGAAAAGCGAGTGACATTTGAAGGAATTAAGAGACTCGGAGAGAGATCGAGGGATCGTGTGATGTGTGAGACGTGATTCGTTAGTCGTGAGAGGTGTCAAGAGAAAGAAAAATAAAATAGAAAACGAGGGTTCAAGGCCACAGGCCAAAGGAAACAAAAAGAAAATGAAGAAAAAGAGAAAAAAGAAGAGGAGAGAAAAAAAGAAAAAGAAACGTTGAACAGTTGAGAATGGAAGAAATTCCGAATGTGCTTAGTATTGGCTGCATATGAAACCTCTCTATTCTTAGTGTTAATTTTTTTTTTCCTATGTGATAGCTAAATACTTACAATATCAAAATATCTAAATATATAAAACTAACAGAAAAATTTGGTCAAATTCCAAACTTATAGATAAAATGAAACTGTCAGAATGAGAGAATCCAACCCCCCTCGCTTGGCGTCGTCTAAAATCTGACTTCTTACCATCTTTCCTCACAAAACTACTGTGTGATACACAAAATGTCTAATCAAGACTTACCGCCAAGTTATGATGCATCACAATCACAGACTTCAGACAATCCACCTCCATATCACAACTGGCAAGAAGCAGTCCCTGACACAACCACATTCCCACCACCCCCCATCGCTGGCTACCTAATTTCAGGTACAGGGAACGCCTCCGAAGATGATGCCCAGCGCGCCCATGATTTCTGCAACTCGGTTCCACTCTGGCTCCCCACCCAACCTTCATCCGCCGTCTACAATGACGTACAGGCACACGACCTTCGACCTGTGCAGCCAGCCGAGCTGCGTGGTCATGTCTCGGCTGTTGCACATGGCCGCTGGCGTGGACATAGCGTCGATGGGAATGGGGACTGTGTCATTCTCACCCAGCTGCCGATGTACTTCCCTGCTGCGGACTCGCCATTTGTGCGTGAGCAGAAGAAAACGATCTACTTTGAGGTCAAGTTGTTGGCGCTGAGAGCGGGACCAACCCCACAGGATTGTAGTGGGATTTCGATTGGGTTTGCTGCACAGCCTTATCCGGCATGGAGATCTCCTGGTTGGGAGAGGGGTGGGCTGGGAGTGTTTTCGGATGATGGATGTCGGTTCGTGAATGATTCGTTTGGGGGCCGGGATTTTACCACGGCATTCAAGGTGGGTGAGACGGTTGGATTGGGGATGGAATTTGAGCTACCAGATAATATCGGGGAAAAGAATAAGAAATGCAAGGTGCATATCTTCTTCACGCGGAATGGATGCCGATCTGGGGGATGGGATCTGCATGAGGAGGTCGATGCAGATTCTGGAGGTGTTGAAGGCTTGGAAGGGGACTATGACCTCTATGGGGCGATTGGGTTGTTCGGTGGCGTCGATTTCGAGTCTTGTTTTGAGCCTGCAGGTTGGCTATGGAAGGAGTGAAACGGTTTTCTTTTTTTTTTGGATCTGCCAAGGAGTTTACAGGTCATAGGGCTGACTATTTTCTTGCTCTCTGACTTTCTTTTTTGCTTTTTTTTTGGCTCGTATAGCTTTATGGTTTTATGTTGTACATTTTTATATTGATCTCAGTATGGCCTGATACATCCAAAGCTTAGCTTTAATATACAAAGCAGACACACCTTTATATATAACATAAAAAGAACACAGACTAATTTGCACAGCCTATTTCAACGGTCAACGCCGAGGCTTACCCTGCATGGCGTAAATGAGATTCTGCACATGTGTTCTGGAAAGGGAATTGTATTTTCTTCTTTTGTCTAGTCTTCCTGGTAAGTGCAGTAGTGCCCGGGGGGGATGCACGAGGTGCAGTTCCGCTACGACGACGGCCCTTGCGACGTCTGATGAGCAAGTGCATCTCTGCCGCTTTTCCGTATGGTCAGTCTATCCTAGCTGCATGAACGGCAGGAAATCGTTTTATTTGACGTCAGGATGTGCCGAGCGCATTGCGATCTTTGTCCTTTTGCATATGTAGATTTGGGCGTTTTGATACCAATTTCGGGGGGGTTTCTTTCAAGATTCTTATCTGCTTATAACAGGGAATTTCTATTGAGAAAGCTGAAATGAGTATATATTACGGAGTTGACTAGAACGCGCACTGATAGCAAGAAGATAAGCCTGCGCTCGGTTCTCTCTGGTCAAGTTCGTAAGCGATGCGCCTATTCATCTCGTGCTCGTATATATAAATGACCGAGTCTATGGTTGAAAGAGCCGCAGTAAGAGGTCTGAGAGTTAACCCATTTGAACTTTGGAAAAGCCACCAAAGTCAAGTAAAATATGAGATATATACAATATATACTCCGTATATACTCCGTATATATATATGTGTTCATATCTTTCTATAAACGGAGAAGCCGGTGATATGTTCTCCTATATTTTTTTTAAAAAATACAGTGTATCTTAAAATACCCCATAAAATGAGGATCCCCTAAAAAGGAAAAAACAAAAAGCCACCCAGCCCATATTCCTGCAACTAACCCACTAGAGAGCGGCTAGAATGGCACGGATGTTTCCACCTACCAATTAGACTAATTTTCATTTTACTGTTATGGGAGAATACGTTATTTACTACGGAGTACGGAGTATACTAGTACTCTACATATATAAATACCACATATATATATATATAGGAATACTGTGAAATCAGTATTTTCAAGATGTCAAGACTCAAAAAGAATCACAATGGGTTTGTTAAAAAGAGATCCACTGAAAAAGTTACAAATATCCCCACAGCCGATCTAAATTTCTGAATAACAAAGAGAGGAAAAAATAATTAAAATAAAATAAAATAAAAAATAAAGACTAGAGCATAAAGGGTAGTAGTTCCATATCGGCTGTACTAATCTCTTAAAATGGGTTTGGCCGGGAAAGAATTTCTCTGATCGACTGCATGTCATCGCCCCTTTTTCCCGTGACAGACCCGGCCCCCATTTGATATCCCGGAGGTGACCTGGGGTCTATGCGTAAAAGAAAGAGAAAAAACAAAACCCACAAGCCCCTCTTCTCTCTCTTTCACAAATCATAATATTGAAAGTGAATTAGAAATCCGGCCATTCCCGGCCGGTGGAGTGCGGGTTTAAATACTGGGAGTCCGTGCAGCCGAGATACGCGTCTGTTTCACTCAAGACGTGATCTGGATGCGGCCGGACACCGTTGCTATTTCGTACTTTTCAAGTTCGGAGAAATAAAGAATATATATATTTTTTTAACGCTAATGATACAAGGTACGGGAATATATGTGCATATGCAAAGAACCCAGATAGAACCGTTGCAGATAAGAGGAAAATAAAACCCCATAAATTGCCACTTGTAGAACGCCGTGAAGAGGAGGTCTTAGCCACTTCCCCCCCAAAAGTACCAGATTGCGAGTTTGGACGATCACGACCGAGATATCCATATTGGGCCTTCTGCAGATGCATTAATCCCATCTTCTCCGGTCGTGCCCCCATTCTGCTAAGGCTGGAACACCTTTTTAAACGCCAAAGCGATACTAGCGCCAAGGGTGTGAAATGGTATTCTTTTGGATATAGTATAGCTGTACTCTGTATAGAATGTAGATACCATTATACTCTGTATACTCTGTATACATAATATATATATATACATAAAGTATATGTCCACGGGTGTATATATATATATGTAGTAATAAATAGATATCAGATTATCAGCACGGTCCAGGTTCGTATACTCGTGACGGATACATATTTACCTTCACGCCACCGAGGCAGCTGGTTGCCCTTCGGCATTAAGCCATCAGGCGATCTGTCGACATTTACTTTTCCCTTATTTTTCCCTTATGAATTTCTTATGTTTTTCCCCATTCAGGGTTATAAAATTCCCCCATTCCAGTGCCCCCCCCCCACCTTAAAGCTGTTACACGGGTTTAACGATCGCCACTAGGATTATCCGTATTTTTTCTTTTGCTTAGACCAATTCTCTTCAATGTTCTCTCCGAGATCCAAAAGAGTTAACGTACTTTTGAACATTTTGACTCCATTTGGCTTTAAATTATTCCACAAATCATTACACCTTTTTATCATATTTCAGATATCCAGAGTCGCTTCTCAAGATTCAAAGGCAACGTGCATGACCGGATATGTTCTCCATAGAATTACTTGCCTTTTTTACCGAACAGTTCTATGGTACCTGGGGACAAAGTACCTTTCGTAAGGTTGCATTGCTCGGAAGAACCTGACCATGAGGTATCTTTATATGCATCTAAACTAAACGGTTGCCTCCTAACCATTATTATAGATGTATAGTTATATATTTTCCTTGAAAACACACTAAACAAGTTAGTATTAAAAAAAATAAAAAGAAAAAAAAGCAAAAAAAAAGCAAGGTACATATGTTCCCCACAAGTGAATATAAGTTCATAGATACCAAAATATATACAACATAGACAAATACGTAAAATGGGTCAATCATTCTCCTAGACTCTAGATCCAGGGTCTCTGACGCACGAGGCAAAACTACACCTGCAGCACACTCAAAACGAGCTATTTAGTTTTATTTAGTTTTAATTATTTTCTATATTTTTTATTTTTTATTTTCCATATTAGATATTTTTTATATATTTTTATATTCTTATAATATTATTTGGTTTAGCTCATCGCATGTGCCCTTCTTACTTTATAATCTCTGCCTCCCTTCAAAGTACTATCTTTTTTTTCCCTTTCTCTCCTATTCTCTTTTTCCTCAAAAGGAAGCATTGTCTCCCTGACATTCGTTACTCTGCCTAAGTTTAAGGCAATTGACCGGACTTGATAGGCATAGCTTATACCTCCGTATCTCTTACCAATATTTAGGGTTACGTGGGGACAAGTTTCACGCCATGGCATTCCCGTTTCTGCGAGCATTCGTCACACTCTTGTGAGTATCTTTTATAGCTTAATCCCGACTCTCTGTCTCTCTCTCTTTCTCTTAGCTAACGAGTAAGTCTCTATCGTTATACCCGACTCGTATTTAACTTGTTCTCCTTTTGGACATTTAAACCAATCCCACCACCGCAAAACCCCAAATTGACCTCACAAGATGTGACGGTGATCATTCCATCGTTGGAGGGGTGTGGTGCCGAACTGGTGGAGACCATACGGACCATTCTTGAAAATCAACCCTTCGAATTGCTCTTGGTGACAATCGAGGCCAATCGCATGAAGGCCGAACAAATGTTGAAAACTATGCCAGCATCGGAATCACGAATCCGATTGTTCACAGTTGAACATCCCAATAAGCGCCGTCAAATGACTCAAGCCATTCCCGAGGTCCGAACTGCTATTACCCTTCTGGCCGATGACGACGTGAGTTGGCCTCGTACTCTCCTCCCTTGGATTCTGGCCCCCTTCGAAAAGGATGAAAAATATGGTGGGGTGGTGACCTGTCAGCGATTGCGCCGGGCGATTGCGCCGAGCCTCTCACAGCGAGTTTGGGGTTTCTTGGGAGCTTTGTACCTGGAACGACGCAACTTTGACTGCGGCGCAACTACCCATGTGGATGGTGGACTTCCCTGCATGTCAGGACGGACGGTTGCGTATCGGACACAAATTCTGCAGAATGAGGCATTCACCTATGCCTTCACCAATGAGGAGTGGTGGTTCGGCAAATACCAACTCAACGCCGACGATGATAACTTTATCACCCGTTGGATGGTCTCGCACGGATGGGAAACTTATATGCAGTACCACCCTGAGGCAGAGGTGCTGACTACTCTCGAGGACAACCCTCGTTTCTTGAAGCAATGCGCCCGCTGGTCAAGAAGTAATTGGCGGAGCAATCTGACTTCGATGTTTCACGAGAAACACATTTGGCAGTAAGTGCAACTTTTTTTTTCCCCCTTCCCCTGTTATCTCGGTGCCTTTTGTCTTTTTTTGTCTTTTTTTTTTTCTTTCTCAATTTGATCGGGTCAAAAAGAGACTCTATATTTTTTGGTCCGAATCTAGGCGTTGAGAACTTGGTGTGACCCGATGGGAAAAAGAAATATAACTAACAAAATTGCTATAGTCGTCAACCTTGGAGTGCTTATGCCGTTCACCTGACCACTTTGTCGCCGCCTGCCTTCTTAGGTGACATTTTACTTGTTTGGCTGTGCCACAAGGCGACTGGATCCTGGGGAGAGTCATATCATGATCAATCCATGACTATGCTCTACATCTGGATCTTCACTAGCAAGTGGATTAAGCTATTGGGTCATTATCTTCGTTATCCAGTCGATATACTGTTGTTACCCATTTCCGTCCTCTTCGGTTACTTCCACGGTGCAATCAAGATGTATGCCGTAATGACATTGAATGTGGTATGTTTAATTCTCTTTTCTTTTTCTTTTTTTTTTTTTTTTGACATTTCTCGTTTTTGTTTTTGTTTTCTTATCGCATACGTGTGTGTATCAAAGCGCAACCCCCTCCTATGACAGTTCAGCATCACAACGCTTTGACTATCGCTTGCATGTTTACCCACTATTTTTTCCCCGATTGTTTTAGATCGTGCAGCTACCTGCCTTTCTGATTTGATCTTTTGAATTCTGCATTGACCATAGAGCTGGACTGACTTTTCTTTTTTTACAGACAACATGGGGTAGCCGTGATGGCGCCGATGATTACGACGCTGAGCGTATGAAGAAGCGGACGGATGCTGATCGAATGAAGCAACCATATTATCCGCAATATCTCATTAAATGAGTTCTTTTTATTCCCTATCCATGTCTACACCTTGTACTGGGAACAGGGAAGAACTTCTGGTCCATTGAGTTGGCCCTCTATATCACTCATGACGAAACGCCGTGACGACACCCATATGCTCTGCTTTTTTTTTCTCTCTCTCCCTCCTTTTACCCTGGCGATTTCAGATATCTGCCCGTGTCGCCAAGTTGTCGAGAGTGTGAACTTCAAAGCTATGTTCTTCCTCTCCAACGTCAATCCTGCGTCTCTCTTCTGCCCAATGTTTTTCTTTTCTCTGCACATTGCCTGGTCAAAAACAAAATGGTGGCCGAGTCTTGATTTATCGAGTCATTTATCCCCCTTCTCTTCTTGTAAATTACAAAAGCATGGGCGGATGTCGTTCTGCGATTGTTCTGCTTGACTTCGTGTCTTGGTTTACTTTTCAGCTTTGATTCCCCTTTTTCCTGTGAGAGCTGTCCTTTTTCTTAGATGCAAGGTGGTATTCTGAACTTTCTGTTGTTTTTTTTTCTCTCTCTCTCTTTTGCTTTCCCAAACTGCAGATAATTTCTAATTGATCGGAATTTACGCATTTACGCATATCATTTTCCTAGACAAGACCTGGATCCTGTCATATTTTCTAATTCTGATGCCATGCAGATGACTCGGTCTAGAACCAGTCCAAATAGGCTTGAATGTAGTAAGAAACTAGCGTCAAAGCTCATATATGTAATTTATGTGAGACAAATGTACTCCGTAGATTGTGTAGATCCTATTTGGGATTGTGGCGCCTGTGGCGAGAGCCAAGACTTCGGGAAATGTTCAAAGTGCCAATTGACCTCCAACTTTGGATTCAGGAACCATCATCAACTTTTCTCATTCATAGGGTTTGGTCTTTCACCTTAGGGGAAAAAATGGTCGCGTTTGCTCGTGCTGCGTTTCCATCGCAGCTATCCGTCGCCCGTCCCATGTTACGCCGGCGCATTCACTCATCGCCCTTCAGATCAGCTGTTGCACACCCAGTGACTGCCCACGGTCCTCCTCCTAAAGCACCAGCTACTCCGTCAGTAGAGTTCAAGGAGACCTCATCAAATGCAGAGCTCCCAGCTTCTGGAGGTGAAGCCTCGCGATACAATCTCACTGCTGCGCTGAAGAAGCGGTTTTGGAAGGATGTCCATGTGCATGGAAAGTCAGGTATGAGGGGAACAAGCATTGGCTATCTTTCTCATTGATACTTGCCAGCTAACCCACGCATTTGTCCAGATGAATATCAAGTCCTGCTTGACAAGCGACCCGTCAGAACCCCGGCGAAAGAAATTCTTACTATTCCCTCCACAAAGCCTCACCTTGCCCACGCTGTTGCGTTGGAGTGGGACGTAATGGCCTCCGCCCAGAGTGCTCTCAAAAGCCACCTTATACCCATGACCTCCCTCGCAGCCCGCGCCACCGATATCGCCCGCGAAGATGCCGAGGGTAAAAACACCACCAGAAAACAGATCATCACAACTGCCATGCGGTACCTAGACACCGATACTCTCCTCTGCTGGGAGCCTGAGCGACAAATGCACGCATTGGAACGGACGACAGCCGATGGAAAGCCCATCGAGAGCCTCCGCCAGATTCAAACGAGGATCGCGGGAAACATCATGAGCTTTTTGTCTACCAAGGTCTGGCCTGGTCTTGAAATCATTCCTATCCTCGACAACAATAGCATTCTTCCTCTCTCTCAGCCGAAGGGTACAAAAGACAGTATCTGCACATGGGTTTCGGAACTATCTGCATATGACTTGGCGGGTCTTGAGCGGGCAATCCTTGCTTCCAAGAGTCTCCTTATAGCGGTCCGCCTAGTGGTGGAATGGAGCGAGAACTTCCGCCACATTCAGCGACCTGAGACAAAGAAGTTCGGCATCGAGGAGGCAGCTGAAGCTTCGAGTCTGGAGGTTACCTGGCAGACTAATATGTGGGGAGAAGTTGAGGATACTCACGATGTTGGCAAGGAAGACTTGAAGCGACAATTGGGTAGTGTTGTGATTTTGGTTAGTGGGGAGACTCGATAAACTAGCATCTGTAAATTAGGAGTATACTGTATGATATATATAAATGGCATGGACTTTGTATAAATGTGTGTATATTACAGTGAGTACCATCTCATATATATCTAGAAAAGAGGACTCGAGGGAAACACCTTGCCAAGGCGGAGATCAGCATCATTTGCCCCCCAAGAACCCTGAGGTTCCCTCCCCGAATTTCATCTCATTCTCTTTACCTGATATTTGGGATATCTAGGGTTATAAGGATGCCTGATAAACCTGAAGGGTAAGTGTTTTCATTCCCAAGGTTGACACTAAGACCGATCCAAGGTTCATCTCCAGTATGACACCTGTGAGACCCCGGGGGGGAATACCTTCAATGTTGACTTCCCCTTTTATCTCTCTCTGACTCTCTGAGCTTGCAACCTTTGATACGTTGCGAACGTGGTGTATGGACTTTTTACTGACATGCCACTGTCGTTCAGGCATAAACGCTCTCGAAGCGCAATAGCACTTGCCCTCCTCCACCGTGACAAGTCTAAGGGCGAAGATAAAGATCTCGACGGAGACACAAACTCCGTCACCTCTACTTCCTCGAATCCCGGCTCGTTGAAACACACCCCTAGTCGCCATAGCCGTCGCAAACAAGGCCAGGACTTGAGTCCGCCACCAGCCATTCAAGAATCCGCCGAGAATATGAACACAGCCGAAGATCTGCCTTCCTTGAATCAGATGGAGACTGGCAGCATGTCGCTTGAGCAGTCTGTTCGCACCTTCCGTCTCTTCGAGATTTTGCGCAGCGGCGATACTACCGCTATCTCCAAGGCCATTAAGGATACTACCGACCCGCAAGGCGCGAGTTGTCTCAACGGCACGACTGTCCTCCATTTGGCTCTGCAGTGCGCCGAGCCCCAGGTTGTGGAATATGTGCTGTCCACTGCGGAGGACCTCGATATCAACTCGCGAGATCGGGATGGAAACACGCCACTTCACATTGCCGCCCAGCTGGGTCGGGGCCCGCTTGTTCGCGAATTGCTGAACCGACCGTCTATAAATGATTCCATTGTCAACTATCGGGGTCAGACGGCTCTCGATTTGGCCCGTACCCCTGAAATCTTCCAACAGCTTCAGCTTGCGCGGTCTCTCTTCATTGATAGCAAGAACCAGGAGATTCAGGGTTTGATTGGGCGCTCTGATTATAAGGGATTGGAGGCTTTACTCGAGGAACCTCGAGTGGAGGGTATTATGGATGTGAACAGTTACGATCTAGTTACTGACCCGACGACAGCCCAATCGGGTGGCACGCTTCTGCATGAGGGTGCTAGAAATAAAGATGCGCAGCTCATTGAAATCCTTCTAACACATGGCGCGGATCCTTTCCGTCGTGACAAGAAGGGGAAGCTACCGCAGGATGTTACCAAAGATGATAAAACCCGCGCTCTCTTGAAGAGATCACCGGCTGCTGTTATTGCTCAGCGCGGTATCCAGGAAAGGGCTATACTCGGAAATAGTAATGCCCAAGGCCTTGCCGGGCGCGTTTCGGTTGGCGATGCCCCGCTTGGAGGCAAGGACGCTCGCGAGATGAGAGGTTATCTAAAGAAATGGACGAATTACACCACGGGGTACAAGTTGCGCTGGTTCGTTCTGGAGGATGGAGTTTTGAGTTATTATAAACATCAAGGTAAGTCTTGTTATCGCTTCTCGTGCCGTCGAGCCCTGCTAACTTGCCCTAAAGATGATGCAGGCTCTGCTTGTCGCGGTGCGATCAACATGAAGATTGCTAGACTTAGCATGGATGCTCAGGATAAGACGCGCTTTGAAATCCACGGCAAGTCATCGGTCAAATACCACCTCAAGGCCAACCATGTTGTGGAGGCAAAACGCTGGTTCTGGTCCCTCAACAATGCCATACAGTGGGCCAAGGATGAAGCGAAGGAGGAGGAGCGTCAGCGGTCGAAGAATGCGGAGGTACTTCGTCAGGCTAAGATCGACCAGACAGAAGGACGCCCTGCGGATACGCCATCGGAGTCTGGCCTTTCTCACAAGCCCAGTACAAAGGGTCTCGCTCCTCCATCTCTAGGCGGTGGCAGCAGCAGTGGCACAAGGCTCAGCACATATGCATCCCGCACCACCTTGGATATCCCAGCCGGGGACGAAGATAGCTCCGCTTACGGCGGCTCTTATGACCAGATCCTTGCCCCAAACGACATGAACAGAGTAACGAGCCGTGTTACAACTGCACCAGACGGAGAGGAAGATGATGAAGAATTCGTCGACTATGGTTCAAGCCACGAGAATGAGATGCCAGCCGCTGATAAAGATGCTCTAAATATCACCGCACAGTCTGCAAAGCTTCAGTTGGATCTTCTTGCAAATGTGGCTGCCTCGATACAGAGGGAGAAATCCAAGAATCCAGAAATGACCATCTCGGATCCAGCCCTCGAAGAAGCCCTCGGTGCTTATGAAGCTGCAGTCAGCAGTCTCAAAGGCCTAGTGCAGAATCTGCTCAAGATCTCACGAGATCGAGACTCTTACTGGCAATCTCGTCTCAGTAGGGAAGAGTCCATTCGTCAGATGTGGGAAGAAAGCATGGCCCGCGTGGCCCGCGAGCACGAGGAGCTGCAATCCAAGATGGGCGAGTCTGAGGAGAAGCGGAAGCGGACCAAGCGGGCCCTGAAAGAAGCCCTGGAGAGCGCAACAGGCAGTAGCCGTTCTATCGCTGGTGTCCAACCCCCTTTGCCGACAAACAACCAAGATCTTGAGGTTAGCCAAACTGAACGTGGGGCTGCCGAGATGCTGGTTGAAGCAGACCAGGCTACACATAAACCATCCATGACACCCGCGCTCACTCGCAATCCATCAACGTACTCCAAGCTAAGCAGTCTCTGTGGCTCGGAATCGGATGGAGAAGAGTTTTTTGATGCTATTGATGCCGGTGAAATCGAGGTAGAGGATTTCAACAACGCCGAGAAGAGCAATATGGAACAACCTAAAGATGAAAGTGCCGAGCTTCGGGCTGTGAAGAGTAGCATCATTGCACCCTCCTTTAAGGGTTATGAAGATCCCATCAGAGAGCGACTTAAGATGGATGCTGATGATAGGCCAAAGATCTCTTTGTGGGTAAGTTATGGCGTTTCCTTTTTCTTTTCTTTCCCAGTGCTAACTACTGTTTAGAGCATTCTGAAATCTATGATTGGAAAGGACATGACGAAGATGACACTCCCGGTGTCCTTCAACGAACCAACTTCACTGCTTCAGCGAGTGGCTGAGGATCTTGAATATACCGACCTCCTTGATATCGCTGCTGGCCGGTCTGATTCAATGGAACGACTGGTCTACGTCGCCACGTACGCCGCAAGTGAGTATGCCTCGACCATTGGCCGTGTCGCAAAGCCCTTCAATCCCCTGCTGGGTGAAACCTTCGAGTACGTGCGTCCGGACAAGGGCTATCGATTCTTTGTGGAGCAAGTTAGTCACCACCCACCAATTGGAGCTGCGTGGGCCGAGTCGCCCAGATGGGACTACTGGGTAAGTGCATCCGATTCCGTAAGCCAATGTACGTTAGAAGGGCTAACCAAAACTACGTATTTAGGGTGAGTCGTCCCTCAAGTCCAAGTTCTACGGCAAATCCTTTGACATCAACCTGCTGGGCACATGGTTCCTGAAGTTGCGACCTTCCTCCGGTGGAGAGGAGCTTTACACGTGGAAGAAGGTGACCTCGTCGGTCATCGGGATCATCACTGGTAACCCCACAGTGGACAACTACGGTTTGATGGAAATCAAGAACTGGACCACCGGCGAAGTCTGCTACCTCGACTTTAAGCCCCGTGGCTGGAAAGCCTCATCGGCCTACCAGGTGACAGGAAAGGTCGTTGACAGCGAAGGCTCCCCCAAATGGAGCATTGGTGGCCGCTGGAACGATAAGATCTACGCGCGCCACACCCCCGGCTTTGAGGCACCTGTCTCCGGCCAGGATCCCGAGTCTGCCAAGACCTTCTTGGTTTGGCAGGCTCATGATCGTCCTACGGGTATACCTTTCAACTTGACTCCGTTCGTGATCACGCTCAACGCTCTCCCCGAGGGCTTGAAAGAGTGGTTACCTCCCACTGATACCAGATTGCGACCCGATCAGCGTGCTATGGAAGATGGTGAATATTCTTTGGCTGCTGATGAGAAGCACCGCGTTGAAGAGAAGCAGCGTGCTAAGCGCAGAGATCGCGATACCAACGGCGATGTCTACGCGCCGCAATGGTTCGTCCGTGACAAGTGTCCTGTTACCGGAGAGGAGTTCTGGGCTCATAATGGAAAATACTGGGAGTCCAGAGAAGCACATGATTGGAGTCGATCCGAGGATATCTTCTGAGAAGTTGTTGGCTTGTTGTCTTCGCTTGGTTGCTTTGTACAAGACTCTCGATTGTCATAAATGAATCAATTCTGGATAGCTTTCTCATGGACATGGGCTCATCTGGGTAGAAACCCAACAGTAAATAGGAAAAGTAGAATGCCCTTAATTGACAGAATAAAACTGACTTTTATTCTGTCAATTCCCAAAGTTGAAGATATCTTCCAAAGATGGTCGCTATCAGTCACGTGTCGCCGCAAAAACATCCCCAGAGCTATCCGTGGTCTGATCAGTTCCCCTCCACAACCAATTGACATCGCAATGGCAGGATACACTTGTGTCCAGTGCCTACAGGTCCTCCGCCAAGGAGTACGGGCCTCAGCCCCTCACGCTCGCCTGCAGAGCCTTGCTACCGCGCGGCGAAGAAGCCCCATCTCCCCGTCGTTCATCCGCAGCTTCGGCTCGCAACGCAACAGTCGATCGCTCGGCAGCTCTCCAGAGCAGCCAAAGCACAGACATCCACAGTCATGCTGTGCCCCCAAATCCTCGCCTTCTCCCCTCGGGGAACGAGCAGCTCACACGGCAACTGGGGCCTCCGGTAACACTCGGGTTAACAATATTCGGGCCGTCCTAAAACCCGACAACCTGTTCCATTCCTTCTCTGATTCGCCCTCGCCGGCAATCCGCAAACGTGCCCAGTTCATCAAGCAGAATGCTTTCTGCCCTCACCCAAGCCACCAGCAGACCCGCGCGCCCGTCTCGCCGCATGACCCCGAAGCCAGAAAAAGCACCGATGAGGCCAATCTTCCCCCGGCCCATTCGCACTTCGAGTGCCCCGACTGCGGTGTGCCAGTGTACTGTTCCGAAGGCCACTGGATGGACGACTTTGAGGCTCACCTCGAAATCTGTGACACTCTGCGCCAGATCAACGAGGACGATCACGACCTGAACTCCGGCCGCTTCTTCCCTGAATTCCATTACCCCGGTCCTCAGGATGATAACTTCGTCATCAACATGACTAACTGGGATACTTACCTCTACACTCGTGAATTTGCGGCTATCAACGACGACCGCTCCATGCGTCAGGTTACCCGCATGCTCACCTACCCCCAGACAATCGGTAGTGTCCTACACGAGCTTAGCCCGTACAGTGTTCGTTCCGGTGGTCGACTCACACCGGAAGGATTGAAGAGTATGAGTGGTAAGTCCGATACTATATAGCAGCAGAGCATCTGCTGGCAGTACCCCCCACCAAAAAAAAACACACACACAGCAAACTAACCCCCATCCCCAGCCCTCCGCTACACCCTCCACCCCCCTAAAGCCGGTGAAAGCATCGATGTCAAAGGCCTCCGCCTGCATGCGCCCCCAGTGCGAATCTTCATCCTCGGCGCCCGCGCAGAGTCATCCCTCCCTCGTGACGTCTGGCTACAGCTGCAGTACATGTACCCGCGCGCCCTATTGCACCTAATCTTCATCGGACCGGAGAGCATGGCGAATCGAGACGGAGAGTATCCACTTCCCGAGCGTACGCCCGAGAACCCCTTCGGCGGCATCGTCGAGGACAGACTCGGTGGCCAGATGAAGATCACTACCTACGTGGACTACTTCCACACTATGAACAAGGCTCAGTATTTCGGTCCCTTTGACCCTTACCTGGATTGCTTTATGCTCTTCCATCCTGGTCTCGGTCACCCGGCTAGCTCGCATGAGTGGGAGGAGACGCTCCCTCAGCTGCTTGAGACTAAGGTTCCTATCATCTGTACTGGGTATACGCAGTGGGATCTGGAGCGCGATATCAACTGGGTGAGTGAGAAGTGTCGTGGGGAGTTTGATGTGCTTCTTGAACCGGGGGAGAATATCTTCCGCAGTCTGCGCTGGGATCTGAATGATCAGGATCCTCATGATGTTTCTTGTGGAAACTGGGGATTGTGGGCCTTCCGAGGCAAGAGGTATGTTGTTTTTTTTTCATTGGCTGAATAGAGGGATGTTGGCTAACCTACTCGACAGATACGAAGCTGCCTTCTCCAAAGAGGAGTAGGCTAGTTATAGCTCTCCCTTTCTGTACGATATCTTTTTCTGGTGCCCATTCTTGGGGTCATTGTAGTAGATAAGATCAGTGTCAGTCCTCTCCGAAGTTATTCACGATTATCGATGCGCTTGGTCCAGATGGTATTTTCATGAAGCATATGCTGTAGATGAAGCTATGACAAAGCTCTCATAGAGAAAGCTATGGATTCATACTATATAAATACTAAGTGCCCAATCACGATATGAAGGAGGTTTGTAGATTTAAGGTCAAATGTAGCCACAATGAATGGTATAAATTGCACAAAAAGTAAAGCTCGTAAGTCTTACACTCGTTAACAGTAGTATGACATCCAAGAGCAAAGATGCAGGCATCAATGCGGAGAAAGAATCCAAAGTCAACCAAGATAGAAAGGAAGAAGCATTGATAGAAAATGCTTGGAGATCAAAAAGGGAGTATCGAAGGGAGAAGAAAAGGGTATAAATATCGGGAAATCGGAAAACACGTAAAATCCACCGTGACCAGAAGATAAGGAGGTTAAGAAAACGGTATGTTAAGAAGAAAGAATATGTAGAGAAGAAAATATCCCAAACAAGAAGAGATTGGAAGGATCAAGTGGGGGCCATTTGATATCCAAAGCTGACACTGGATGCAATGTGACAAAAGTCGAGACCAAAAATCGGGTTGTGTAGCTCAAAATTGCTCGTTCAAATGAGCCAAATAAATGGAGTAATTTAGATCATGAGAAGACCGGCAATGGCGGCTGCACCGGCAGCCATGAAACCAGGGAGGTGAACAGAGGCAGCATTGGTAGGAGGAAGGGAAGGAGTAGCCGAGGCAGTCTCACCAGCGTGGGTGGTAGACTTGATCAGGCGAGTGGAGGAGCTGGCGATGTGGCTCGCAGAAGGGGTAGCACTGGAGGAGGGAGTGCTGGTGATGACAGGAGTCCAGGTCGAGGTGGAAGTTTCAGTTGTTGAGATTGGGGTCGAGGTGGACGATGGGGGAGTGTAGCCAGAAGGCACCAGAGTGATAGTCTTGGTGATACATTCGGCTGAGGCAGCTTCAGTAGCAAATGCGACAGGCGCGAGGGCCGAGAGGAAGAGAAGAGTCTTGGTAAACTGCATTGCAAAGTTGAAATTTGAGAATTACGAATTGCAAATTGTAAAATTGCAAAGAAACAGTAATTCAAGTTAAAAGAGTGAATATAGCTGATAAAAAGAATGTGAGAACAAAAGAGTGACACTGTTTAGAACAGGAGAAGTTGCAAAGAGGAAAAAGGGAGGTTTCGAAGGTTCCAAGACGGTACGGGTAAACAAGTACTAAGGCATCAAGGCATTAAGGCATTAAGGTACAGATTTAAGGCTTTTAAGGCAACAATTGACACCCAAGCAACCGTTGGAATGTCAATTATATACATTTATACATATCAAAATAACTATCTTTCCTTTTTTTTTGGTTATTTAAAGCCTGATTTCTATTCTTTTTACTATTATTTTTGAAAAATACCACTCGTTTCTGACAGTACAACTAGCCCAATTTAGGAAAATCCTCGTGTCTTAGCACAGCAATAACTACATAGGTAGTTATAAATCAGTACGCAAGCGTTGTGACCACTTTGCTATGATACACTGGGTTAGAGAGATTTAATATATTAAATTTGTGCTTGTACCACCTTATATTTTCTTTTGAAACACAATTTAAGTCTCATTATATAGAATCCAACGCGCTTAGAGACGATTCGGTGATGTGTTATGATGGAGAGAAGGTATGTCAAAGCAGTTCTTTGAACAAAAGGAAAGAAAAGAGCTAAATTACTTCTACGTAATTTTAAGCTTGAAACGTTTCAGGTTATGTGTGCTTAATGTAGCTTTACATTCTTAGCTCACAATCTACTATGTATAGTTTTCAAGTCCAATCCAATTCAACATCGCTTTAAAATTGCCAAAAGCAAAGCGCTTATGGAGATAAACAATACTGTTATACAGGCCAAGGCCAAGCTCCCAAACCGGGGTATCAAAGTTGCAAACATCCATCCCAATCATCTCTTATTATAACATTAAGGCCCATCATCAACATCAGCCAGGTGGAGCCATGATAACCCAGCAGTTAGAAAGCAAAACGCAAGGAAAAAAAGAAAGAAAAAAAAAGTTGTCATTTAGAATCCCCAAACGGCGGCCGCTACCACGGCAATAGTCACCCAGTACCCGCTAGCATGTAGGACCATTGCGACAGGCCCGGATGCTGAGGAAGAACTAGTCGAGCTTCCATCATCGGCAGTGGTACCGTTGGGCAAGGTGCCATTGATGTAGATGGTCTGAGTGCCATTCACATCGGCCACGCGTACAATACTGGAATTCTTAGGCACGGTGCCGTTAAAGAGAGACTCGTAATAGGTGCGATTATTGTTGTTGTCGCAACCACACTCGGAGTACTCTTGGCACACACAGACAACGGGGAGCGACTCGTTCTTGCGGGCATTGTCGTTGTAATAGTTGTAGTGGTGGCTGTAAGGATAGGCGTAGGCGCTGTACAACCAAAGACCAGGGAAGACGCCCAGTGCGGCTCCACCGAGCACATAGGGGGCGATACCTCCACGGGATCGGGAGCCAGACTTGTAGGGGGTTCGACCACCACCAGCATAGTAGTTACCTCCACCATATGTTGCTCGAGTGCCAGAGCCGCCACTGGTTGTACCACCAACATTGCTTGAACCACTTCGACTACCTCCGCTAGAACCAGAAGAACCGGTACGGCCTCCGCTGCTTGAACCGGAGGAACCGGAAGAACCAGTGCGACCTCCGCTACCACTTGAACCGGATGAACCAGAAGATCCAGAAGATCCAGTGCGGCCTCCACTGCTTCCTCCGGATGAACCACCACCGCCTCGGCCTCCACCACCACCACGCCGCTTCTCAAGTGTTATAATATTTGAGTCCTCAAAATGCAGGGAGTCCAGGGGGTCATGTTCAATAAGATCAGTAGACTCTGTTTGAGGAATGGTCAGGGATGTCGCCCTGGAGAGTAGAAGGAGTGTTGTAACCCAAGTGAACTTCATGATGAATATGGAGGAATAAGAAGGAATCAAAGTTGGGGTTGAAGTCCGGGAAAAAGGTGAACGGTGGATGACGAAATTCTGACTCTCTCTCTCTCTCTCTCTCTCTCTTTAAGAGATTTACAGGTTTCAAATTTAAAGAAAAAAAAGTCAAAGCAAAAAAGACAAAGCAAAAAGACATCAAAGCACAGCCTCGGGCAATTTAGCGGCTGAATACGAAGTTGGAGTTCTTTATTATATAGTTAGGCGTATAGGCACTGCCTTGGAAAACTTATTGTTGTAGATCTCTATATACTCCATCAGCCTGGAGAGTCTGATCATCTCCATTTAGTATCTGATCCTATCCATTGATATAGTAATTATAGAATTATAGAATTATAGAATTATAGAAATATAGAAATATAAATTTACAAGGCGAAATGCGCCTTGATCTTTTTACAAAGAACTTGACTATTATATTCTTTAATCTATAATATATTTTTCTATTTTAACAAGTAACATAGTCAATTAAAATTCAATATTCTCTACTCCGTAGTTAATAGTCAATAGTTAATCAATAGTTAACTAGTTAGTTAAGATGTTAGTTAATATCAATAGTTCAGAAGATCCCGGTCGGGCAGCTTCCCCCCCCCCAAGTCAAAGCTACCTTTCTCTCATATATTCCCCCCCCCCAACTCATTCCCCATATCTCTTATGGCACGCCAAAGAGGTCTTTCAAATGCCTCTACTACTTCCTCGGTCTCAGACCAGGTAGAATCTCTCCATCCCTAACCCCTGGAAACTGCTAATGCAAATAGGAACTGGGGAGCATGTACGATTACCTCGCCAAAGTTATCCTCCTAGGACCAAGTGGTGCTGGAAAGTGAGTACTCTATATCTACATAGTATATGGTAAGATCATCTGCTGACATTGGATTCCTTGAAGGTCTTGTGTACTACACCGCTTCGTGAAAGATGAATGTACAACACTCCAATATCCACTGGCTTTCCCTCTCTCTTACTGACATATTCAGGGCGAGTACTTTCCTCTCAGACCATTGGCGTAGAATTCGCCTCGCGCATTGTGAAACTTGGCACGGGCTCGCGTCGGAGACGCATCAAACTCCAGCTCTGGGATACTGCAGGCACAGAACGTTTTCGATCCGTTTCAAGATCATACTATCGCGGCGCAGCAGGGGCAATCCTTATCTACGATGTCGCTTCCTACGCTTCCTTTGCCTCCCTCCCGACCTTCCTCATGGACGCCCGCGCCCTCGCTTCCCCAAACTTATCCGTCATTCTGGCCGGGAATAAAGCTGATCTGACCTCCGACGCCCAGTCCGATTTCGAAGATAACTCCCGCCCGCCTCCTACCCCATCTAGTACTTCCAGCAGACAGTCGTCCATCCCATGGGATATGAATGGTTCAATCCGCTCAACTAGCATGATGGGGACGGGGACCAGGTTGACTGCTACTCGTGCCTCGGAAGGCAGAGAGGTTAGCTCCGAAGAGACATCCCACTGGGCGGCCAAGTCCAATATACCTGTCGCTGTGGAGATCTCAGCTCTGACAGGGGATGGCGTGGAGGAGGTCTTTAATCGACTGGCGCGTATTATCTTGACTAAGATCGAGCTCGGTGAGATCGATCCCGATGACCCGCAGAGTGGAATCCAGTACGGGGATGGAGGTCTATATGGTAGCGACGCTTCTAGTATTAGAAGTCGGGCGACGTTGGATGAGAATTCCGTTCCCCTCCGCAGGACTCGTCGAAAGGGCAAAGCTTCTGGCACGGGACATAGTTGGAAGAGCGGGATGAGAGAATGGGAAGATGTTTTTCGCTTGGGCTCTGGAACTCACCCAAATCAAGGGTGTTGTTAATATTTGTATCACCTTGGGTACATATGGTCTTTTTCTGTTTTATATTGCACGATACCCCCCTATTGGCCTTGATCATTTCTATATATTTTATTTACTCTGCATTTCAACTTTTGATTCATCTCTCATTCAAAATCTCCTCTAAAAAAAAACAAAAACGCCCCATTTATAACCCAATATTTCGTTCCTATAACGGATTTTACACATCAATACCAGCAATCAAGGTCTTAATACCCTTTCCAGCCTTGACCTCAATAAAGGCCTGTTCAGCTTGATCGAACTTGACTGTGCCAGTAATCAACTTCTTGACATCGACCTTGCCGGACGAAACCAGTCCAACAGCAAGCTTGTAGTCTCCGCTACCGTACCGGAAGCTACCCTTGATGGTCAGCTCCTTGGAGCAAGCCGCCATGATAGGGAACTGGATCTCGCTGCGGCCCATGCCACCCTGTACGTACGTGCCTCCGTTGCGCAGGACATGGATGCCCGTGTGCACAGAGGGCTCAGCGCCCGAGGCGTCAATCGCCACATCGGCACCAGCGCCGAGCCCATTCTCCTGTCGCATGCGCTCGGCGTTCTCAGTGGCCGCAGCCTTGCTGGGCATGAATGTCGACGTCGTGGCGTAGTCCTTGGCAAAGTCAAGACGCTGCTGCTGGATATCCACGGCGATGACCTTGGAAGCACCGAAAGCAGTCGCCACGGCGCAGCACAGCAAACCCACTGGGCCAGCACCGAATACAACCACCGACTGACCGGGACTGACGCCGGCTTGACGCACGATGTGTACGGCAACAGCGAGAGGCTCCATCAGGGCTCCCTCCTGCAGGGAGATGTGCTCGGGGAGCTTGTAGCAGAAGTCCTCGGGGAGAGTGTAGTACTTGGCAAGGGTACCATCATAGGGCGGGGTCGCGGCGAAGCGCATGTCCTCACACAGGTTGTACTTTCCGGCCTTGCAAGGCTCACATCGGCGGCAGGAGGTGCCGGGCTCCATGGCAACCCGATCGCCCACCTTTAGGGTCTTGACGGCTGATCCGACTTGACTGATAATGCCTGCTGACTCATGTCCGAGGACCATGGGTTCTTTGACGACAAATGAACCGATCGAGCCATGTTCCCAGTAGTGCACCTGGGATACGTTAGTCCGGGTTCATATTTCCGAAGCATGATACCATACATCACTACCGCAGATACCGGTGTACTTGACATTGATGATGACATCGTGGGGGTTCTTCAGCTCGGGCACTGGGCGGTCTTCAAATTTGACCTTGTGAATGCCCTGGAGGACGAATGAGAGGTTCTATATGATTGTCAGACTGTTTTATTTTTCAATGAACAGTCGAGTCCTACCTGAGCTGCCATTGTGTATTGGAAATTCTGGAAGAAAATATAAAGATGAAAGGAGAGAAATGTACGTGAAATATATAGAGGGAAAAAAGGATTAACCGGGAGAATCCAATGAACCGAGAAGAGCTCCCCGCAGGTCCAGACAAGTCTTGGAGATATGTGGATCGGCCTTTTTTTTTATTTAGCCGGGACAATATTAACCGGAGTGTCTCTCCTTGGTGAGGTCACAAGGGACTAATTGGTCAAGTGACTTATAGAATACAGTCAATACTTATACAATTATACAATTATATATGATATATACATTAATTATTCTATATATTATATATACTATTATACATACAATCTGACTATATTCGTAAAAAGAAAATAAAAAGTAGCGGATGCCAAGACCCCGGAACTCGGTCCGTCCTCCACTTACCTCTCTCTCTTTCTCTCTCTCTCTCTCTCTTTTTAGCTTTGAGAGCTTCAAGAACTTCAAGAGCTTCGTTTCTTCTACGATGGTCTTCAATGCTCTTACAATAGGGGCACGTAGTCTCCGGACTCGACCTGTACCCCGCCTCGTACGTCACTTCGCAGTTTCAACTAAGCAAGCCAAGGAAAACGCATCATTCAAGAGTCAACTATACGAAAGCACCCAGCAGCGTCTAAAGCGGGAGCGTGCTGAACAGGAAAAATTTGCCCAATATCAGACCCAGTCCCCAGCTGGTCGTTCTGCCGCCCTGGTCTTCGGTATGCGATGCCCCGAGATAACCTTCCATTTTCCTCCGGGTTGGCTAACTAAATCCGCAATCTGTAGCATTGGTTTTCTTCTCAACTGGTGCTTATTACCTCGGATCTATCAAGCCTGCAGCTCTACCTTCATCGTCTACGACTCCCCTCTCCGAGATCGAGGCTCCAAAACACAATGTCTCTCCCTCCAACCTCCAGGCAGCGTGGGCTGATTTCATCGAGATTCTGGGCAAGGAAAATGTGTCAACTGCAAGTGGCGACTTGGAAATGCATTCCGGATCCGATTGGTCCTCCTACTCGCAGAAAGAGAATGAGAAGCCCTTCTTGATCCTCTACCCGTCAAGTACCGAGGAGGTCTCGCGCATCATGAAGGTCTGCCACCAGCGCATCATCCCCGTGACCCCGTACTCCGGTGGCACGAGCTTGGAAGGCCATTTTGCGTCTACGAGAGGTGGTGTGTGCGTGGATTTCCGTCGCATGGACCGCATCTTGAAGCTCCACAAGCGTGACTTGGATGTTGTTGTCCAGCCTGCTGTTGGGTGGGAGGAGTTGAACGAGGAGATTGCGAAGGATGGGCTTTTCTTCCCCCCGGACCCTGGTCCCGGTGCGATGATTGGCGGTATGGTCGGAACTGGATGCTCGGGAACTAATGCCTACCGGTACGGAACAATGCGTGAGTGGGTGCTGTCGCTCACTGTGGTCCTCGCCGATGGCACCATAATCAAGACTCGGCAGCGACCGAGGAAGTCCAGTGCTGGTTACGACCTGACCAAGCTCTTCATTGGCAGCGAAGGCACACTTGGTCTGGTAACGGAGGCGACCTTGAAGCTGACGGTCAAGCCTCAGAGCGAGAATGTTGCTGTCGCAAGCTTTGGCACCATTCAGAATGCTGCTGAGTGTGTGACCAATGTGGTGGAGGCTGGTATCCCTGTCGCTGGTGTTGAGATTCTGGACGATATCCAGATGAAGTGCATCAATGCCAGCAAGACTACCAGCCGTCAGTGGAAAGAGTCTCCCACCTTGTTCTTCAAGTTCACTGGCACCCCAAATGCGGTTAAGGAGCAGATTAGTATGGTGCAGAAAATTGTGTCTAGCACTTCGGGGAATACCTTCGAGTTTGCACGTGGCAAGGATGAAATGGCAGAACTCTGGAGTGCTCGTAAACAGGCGCTGTGGAGTGTCATGGCGATGAAGAGAAACCCGGATGACCACGTCTGGACGACTGATGTCGCGGTCCCAATGAGCAAGTTGCCCGATATCATGGAGGCAACCAAGGAAGATATGACCAAGAATGGCTTGTTGGCCGGAATCTGTGGCCATGTTGGAGATGGCAACTTCCACGGTAAGCTATCGCCTTGATTTCGACATCCAAAGTTATTCGACACGTGCTAACAACCGACAGCGATCATCCTCTTCAGTGATGGTGAGAAGGAGATAGCAGAGGGAGTCGTGCACCGCATGGTGAAACGAGCCGTGGAGATGGAGGGTACTGTTACTGGGGAGCACGGTGTCGGTCTCGTCAAGCGAGACTACCTCGAGCACGAGTTGGGTGAAACTACAGTTGACACAATGCGCCGGGTAAGTCCTGATATACATTCGAATTCGATCTCTGAATCCAAATATACACTGTCTACACCCATGGAGCATACCACTGATACACATGTCTGCATTTCTAGCTGAAATTGGCTCTTGATCCACTCCGCCTGCTCAACTGCGACAAGGTTATTCGCACCGAACAACCGGCTCCCGGGGAGGTTAAGGAATGGTAAATTCCTTCGCCGGCATCCACTGCGACAAGATCCATCACTACCCCAAAACTATATCTGGGGCAATGCTGAGGCTACCTAATTCGATTCCGAACCAGACCGTTCATGGTGATGGTGATGGTGGTGTCGGTGGTGTCGGTGAGAACGTTCCTCATCATCGCTGCCTCCACTGTGAGAGCCCGAGCGGTACCTGGGGCGCTCCTCGCCCTCATATTGTCGCTCGGGGCGGTATCCATCACCGCTCTCCCGCTGGCCATATCCTTCCTGGGGCCTATAGCCAGAATTCTCATATTCATTGTACCCAGGTTGCTGTCTACCATATCCAGAGGACTCCCTATACATTTGGTCAATATAAAAATAACTAGCGAATAACGAATAATCAAGTCAACTTACTGTCCATATTCCTGACGAGGCGGGCCTCCGTATCCATACTGTGTCTCGGTACGTTGATATTCAGATTGACCACTTTGGTAGGTCTCCCGTGTCTGCTCCTGATAGTAACTCTGGCTTTCTGACTGGTATTGGCGGTGGTGCTCCTCACGGCGGAAGTTCTCCGCTGGGGGTGCGTAACCAGAATACTCATCGCGACGCACAGGTGGCTGTTCATAGACAGTTTCACTTTGATATTCATATCCGCCGGGACGAGGACGGTATTCTTCGCGATGAACTGGGGGCTGACCGTAGCCTCCGTAGCTTGGTTCACTTGGTTGTCCATATCCACTCGGGCGAGAGTCCCCTCCATACTGCTGGCTCTCATATTGGGGTCGACTCTGGTAAGAATTCCCGCTGTCATAGTTCTGAGGCTCTGGGCTATCCCGGCCAGGCTTTGAGCCGCTATCGTTGAGAAGCATAGAGCCCATGCCTCCTACAAGGCCACCGAGTATACCACCAAATGCGCCTCCTCCCAGAGCCTCGGAGGCGAGGTTTTCAATATCAGACTTACCAGAGCCACCGGACCCTTGGCCTTCTCCAGAGCTGCCGTGAGACTTGGGAAGAGCGATGGGCTTGCCACATCCGTGTCCACAATCCTGCACGCCATCTTTGTGGTTCCTGCCTTCAAGGACACCATCGCGGCTCAGCTGCTCGCGGAGGATGTCACGCTCCTCATCATCCTTTTCGCTCCACCACTTCTCCACAGTGGAGAACATGATTTGGCGCATGTCGACAGCTCCATCACGTCCAGACTCACGAAGGGCGGGGTGGTGGAAAACACCAGAGATGATTCTGTCAAGGGTTCGGTCGATATCGATATTCTCATCATCCCAGCATGACATGAGCTGAGGAACCGACCATTTAACAACAGCTGACGCAATACGACCAGCTGGTTCATTCAGGATGTTTGAGAAGTGGTCTTTTGAGAGCATTGAGTGAGTCGGATTTGAGCAGTCATCATCGTTAAAGACAACGTGCTGCTGCTCCCGGCTGCTCTGGATCACTTCGGATGAACCGGTCTCGAGCTCGGACTTGACCTGCTTGATAATGGGAAGGACATAGGGAGCCAGGATAGAGAAGACAAAAATGGTGATTTGATCCTGGATTTGCTCAATCAGTTCGGGCAAGACCGGGATCTTTTCGATGGCCTCATTGATTTGTTTTAGCAGGTTGTCATGCCACTCGAGGACTGGGTAGATCTGCTTCTGAACATTGTCCAGGTAGATAGCCCAATCTTCAGGTTCACGAGGGTTGACGTTATCACCGTCATGCTTGGCTTCGTCTGCCTTTGATTTGAAGTCATCCATCTGGCCGGTCTGGTCGTTGCTGTCACCAAGCAGTCCATCGGGAATCTTGCTCAGCAGGGTCTGCAAGAAACTCTCAGAGGAATCCTGGTTCTCCGAGTTGGCGACGACATTTTCCAAGCCCTCAATTTCAGACTGCATTGTCTTATCGGACAACTCTCCTAGTACGGAATGGAAGAAATCAACTCCGCCAAAGGTTCCGGTCACGATTGGGTAGACTTCGTCATTGACACCTCTAACTTGCAGTTTGGTGTTGCGTCCGACGTGAGGGAAGACCTCTGTCTCTCCCATTTCAATCAGGCTGAGTTCAGTGTAGTTAGAGTGAGCAGCGTAATCTTCCAGGCAGTGTAATCCAGTGCCCAGCAGTCGTAGAGCTTCGTATAGGTCTTCCTTGTTCCCAGATTGGCCGTAACGCCGACCCATCTGAATGGAGCGGCCGAGCACACGACGAATCAACCCAGCCGAGGTATCAATACCCACATCCTCTGTTGCGATGTAGTGTTTCAAACCTATGTTTTTTTTTTAAGTCGGGTTAGTTCCAATATCGACCGCATGATCAGACTTCATACCGGTTCGGGGATCCACTGAAAGCTCTCGCTCTTCATCGATAGGGCCACGCAGTCGACGATCGTAGTCACGGGCATCCTCGCCAGTGGCGTATCCCAAGGGGTTATCGATATGTTCTGTGGGTTGATAACATCCAAGGCGTTCCGTGGTAACCTCAAACTCCCCGGTTCCGTATCTTATCGGTTCTCAGCAAAAAAATATACGTAGTTTATCCATTTTCACGACTCACCCAAAGCTCATGAAGCCCAGCACCCAGAGCAGGATACGAATAGCTTCAGCACTAACATACTTGACGGTGCCCACATCGACAGCTTGGCTATAATCACGCAACCAATTACCGAAGTAGACCCGCTTCACGTCCAGCTTACCGAATTTCTTACCACCGGCGACTCTCGCCATGAAGAGAGTCAGAAGGGCATCCTCAATATCCCCATGACGCCAGTTTTGACCTTCAAGGCGGGAAAGAGAGGCGATGTTGCCAGCGCCAAATGCGTATGCCTGACCGGAGAAAGCGATCAGGACCAATAGGGACAACCCCAGGTTCTGTAAAGACAGACCCATGGTTGATAATATGTAAATTTTTTTTGTTTATTTTGCAGAAAGGAAATGAGAGAGAAGAAGCAAAGAAGCAAAGAATAATAGAAGAAGAGAAAGAGAGAAAGAGAGAAAAAGATGTCAACCCCACCAATGTACACACACACTTGTCAAACACTGGTGGGGGAAGATCATTGTGCATGGTCTTGGCAATGTATGGAGTACTCCGTACATAGTGTGTACATAGTATGGTGTACATATAGTGTACATATAGTGTACTCCGTACAGAGTACAATATTTATATGTTATTTTTAGTCCTTTCTAAATCTTCTTTCTATTTCTTATTTGGATTCAATAATAGAATATAGAATTATAGAGTATAGAGTATATATCATGTAGGAATATAAGGGGCAGGGGGAATATAAATTAAAATAAGATGAGAAAAATAGTCAAACTAATCAAACTAATCGAAGAATATTAAACTAATTCAATCTACTCCGTAGAGGGACTAAAACTAAATGAACTAAGAATAGGAGAAAAGGGGATATAGGGGGAAAAGAAGAGAATAGGAGTCAAAAGCCGCATGCGGTCTCGATTCCGTCTGTCTCCGGCTTCACCGCCGTCTCCTTTTTCTTTTTGAAATATATACTCTTCTCTCTCTCTCTCTACTTCCTTTTCTTATATCTCTAAAACATATGTGAGATCCTTTATCTCTCCGCTTATCTCACTTCCAAGGTTTCCAAGGTTTCCAAGGTTTCCCCGCTGCGCTGATGCGCCCCTCTTGATTACCCTTTACTCGGGACCTTACGATCTTTCCCTTGCCTCTTACTCTGGTTTCTATTCAGGATGCATCACACAGTTCCTTACTAAGAAGCTGTGACTTAAGAAAAAAAAAAAGTCCCGATGGCACGCGATTCATACTCCAGTGAGTCGGCCTTTCCCGTGAAAAACCGACTGGGGGAATCTGGATCGCTTCAGCGTACAAAGGCGAGATCAAGCATTGAAACTGGACGGGCTGCTTCCTATCATATCTTTCCATCTCGAGATTTCAACAAATCCCATGATCAATTCCCCTTTCCCGATGTTGGCGACAATTCGCATTCTCCAGTCAACCTCAAAAAGCGCAGCTCTATGGCTTCAAGCATGGCCATGCATGATCCTACACCGGAACAAATGTGGAACACTGAACAGTTGAATGGTTCTGAACGCAATATATCCTCCGAAGCTCTCGACTCTCGCCCTCACAAAAGCAAGTCAATAAAACCCAAGGTCCATATCAAGCCCATTCTCCGGAAACTCTCCCGGGATGATGCCCCGTCGACCTCAATCGATCTATCGCGATCGTCCACTGACCAAGAGGGGTTGGGCATTTACATGAACTTCGAGCGGGAGCGCCCACGCAGCGGGTCCCTAACAGGTGTGACTTTTAAGAGAACCCCTTCCGGCCTTCACAATCGATCTACTAGTGGCACATCTCAGTTCTCAAATGGATCAGGCTCGACTGCGAGCAAGCCTGGATCCCAGTATGTGCATCCCATGCGACAGACGCCTCGAGCGTACACTCCACCATTAGGCCAATCCTACGAGGAGTCGAGCCATGACAGTGATGAACTGGCCGAAAGCCCCGACTCAGAACCTGCGTCTATCCAAGAAACCCGTGCCTCTTCAGGCCCAGCCCTACCTCGGCTGTCATTGCAGATCCAAGATGATTCTTTCACTCGTCTCCCCGGGATTTCACAGACCAACGTGACCAGCCGGCCGTCCTTTGGATATTCGCGGGAGACTGATGGTACTGCATCTCCAATGTCCAGAACGTCTCTCGACTTCGTTTTCCGATCCCGGACACGAACTAGCACCGATCCTATTTCCCGTGCCGCCACCGTTCAGGCTGCCCGCCAGGCATTTGAGGAAAAAGAGGCTGCGAAAAATCGCCGGCTTGAGAAACAACAGATTAAAGCCGAAGAGAGGGGCTCCCGGCGTCGCTTGAAGCGACACATGTCGGAAGATCCTGAATCTCCTGTGCATTCTAGAGAGGAGATCTCTGAAAAGCCCCACAGATCCGTGCCTGAGGGCCAAGAACCCTCGGTCTCTTGGAAATCTCAATCCAAAAGCACATGGGTGCTTTTCATGACCTGGCTTCGAACTCGAGTGTTCAAACTGCGACGAAAGATCAAGAAACTTCATTGATTCTGACGTCTTTCGCCGTTTATTTTCCTTTGTCTTTTCCTTTGTTTCCTTTGTTTCCTTTGTTTCCTATGTTTCACCCTTTCTTTTTTTTTAAAAACCCCTTTTGTTCCAAGTTCGTACTTCCAATGAGCGAGCGATTTGATTGTTCCCCTGGTGTTTGATCTAGGAGTTTTTTTTTTTTTTTTTTTTTTGTGCACCTTTATAGGGATTTCGCTCAATATGAGCAGGGTACATGGCGTCTGGATTGCTGTCTTTGCAACGCATGCGTTTAGCATCTCTAGGCGATTGCAGGTCGAGTGTCCTGGAGATAGGGACATAGCATTTCCGAGGGCATTTTTTTATGCATGGGAAACGAGAGATGTGGGATATGATTCCCCGATGGTGACAGGTCAAATTATGCAATGAAATTCATACCATTATTCAATTGTACACTCTTAAGGTGTCTTGTCAATACCAAGGGTTGTATCATTGTAGTCACGTGCCCAAACTGCGCTCTCCGTCTCTTCCCCAAATTTCCCCCCAAGGACTACGGCGCACAGCAGCGACAACAACCGCCTGATAAGCTCCACATCTTCCAGCTTTATCTAATTCTTCTAAAAGACGCACCTCCACGGAGGGGAGCGTCTCCTTCGTCATGGTTTATGATTGGTCCGGCAAGCGGGAAATCTGCTTCCAGATGTATATTCAGGAAAAGAAGGCATTGGAGGAGATCATGGACTACATGCGGACTGCCTGTCAGTTTGCGCCGAGGTGAGTGTATATCCTCGTCTTCATTCGTTAGACACCAATTGACTTTCGTCATATCTCTAGCAAACGTGCCTTTCAGACCCAGTTCAAAAGATGGGGTTTTCCGTCGAAACAAAATCCAGCGCACAAGAATATCGAGCTCGTCGCCCGAGTAAAACAGCTTTGGGAACGGAACACAAGCCAGCGGGATATGCTTCGCATCTTGAACGATGAAGGCTTTGAGATTAAAGAGAGGGAATTAATGCGAGTGCGCGCAAAGAATCGTTGGCTGCTGCGGGTCCCCAACGGAATGAAGTCACAGTCAAATGTTGAGGAACAAGCTGTCCCGCCGGAGGATGAGGGCCTACTCGCCTTGCAGCAGGAGGTATACAAGGTTGAAAGCGCACTCGATGATCCACATTCTCTCCCTACACAGCCAGATTCTGAACGCCCACCCACCGACTCCCCCGCTCTCTCACCAGAGGTCATCGCAAAACGCCAAGAGCGACTAGACCGCCTAAAGACCGAAAGTGCAGAACGTTGGGCATCGCGAAAACGTCGTCGTCGAACTCGAGGATGGGCCGGGCTGCCGGCTGACCCTCCGGGGCCTCCACGCTTTCCGTCGGAGACAACCATCGATGAGAGCAAGCAGTATCTCAACCTAGACAACACTATGTACCGCCAGACCCGAGACCATTTTCAGCGAATCTGCGAAGAAGCGGGCTTCATCAAGAAAACCGCAGCTGGTCCTGAGAGATGGCAAGCTGCGAAAGACAAATTGATTCAAGAATCCGCGCACCTCCAACAGGTGTTTAATACAGATCCTACCCAACGCGACGCAAAGGCCCTTGCACTCGATGTTGTGTGTACCGATGTCACCAAACGAATGCGGACTCTGGAGAGACGAATGACAATCGCGGAGGCGAAGAATGCCCTGGGGATCAACCCGGAAGAAAGTCGACAGATTCGAAATGCGTTCTACGATACTTTGAAGGTAGATCATTTCACAAGCAAGCTAGAGGCCGGCGATGAACACTGGAGAGAGCTCAAAGAGCAATGGATTGCGAACTCGGAGCTGCTTCAGCAAATCCTAGCGTCTGGGCCAGCCGACCCAGATCACGGCAACAAACTAAAGGCTCTGGAAGTACTCTGTCGCGATGTCATGAAGAGACTTCGAGATGACCAGACGAAGCGAGATCCGGCACGTAAGAGATCCTCGGCACGTGCCGAGTCTCGAAACCAAACCCCGACAACCTCCTCTATGGGAGGCATGCTAAGCAACGAGATCAGCAACGGGATTAGTACTTTGGCCTCTCAGGCGCTGGCCAGTGCACCCATTACAGCTACTGATATTGGGGATATGCAAATTGACCCTTCGCTACTCCAGGCTGCGAACGACCCATCCTTCTCAGCCAATCCACACCACGACCCAGGCAATGGCTTTGAATATGTGGACCCTATGCTCAGTTCCGCATTGATACATACTCCCGTCTGGTTTCAGGTTGGTTCGAGAGACCCGTCGCAAGAAACAACCCAAAAACCTTGGCTCGAAAAACTGGCCACACGAACAGTGGAAGAACTCCGGCAATTGATCGGCGCCAGGTATCCCTATTCAATCATCACCCGAATCGAGGGCATTGACAGGGATGAGGAAGGGAACCAGATTCCATTCTCAATCGACGATGATCACGAATTGGACGCATATTTGACTCATGTCCACGGAAGGAAGGCGTTGCTTGATTTTACCTTGGGACAGATCTGAACAATGTCTGCCCTGGTGGCAAGGCGTGAAATTCGGTTTAGCTACACAGCGTTATTACCCCTATTTGAAGATAACATATGGAACTTTACTGTAAGGAATAAGATAAATAATATATTCTTCCTTGGATATGTAGTTACGAGATGGTACCACGAAGGCCTGGTGTAGTAAAAGATAAATCATGAAGTTTTTTTGGGGGGAGGGGTCCTAAGGTGACCGACCATATACATATACATTGTTCGCTGTTCACAATTCCAATGTTCAAAAACAGAAAATCCCTGTTAACCGCTACACCTGTGCACCGAATAAGAAACCGCCGTGGACCAAAACCATGGGCTTAGTTGGCGCCGAGTGT